CGCGGCTCTGGGGGTCGCCGAGCCGAAGGAGCGGGGTCTGTGTCAGGCCGCGGGGCCCGCCGAGGATTTGTCGCCTGCCAGCCTGGCCCAGCGCGGTGAGCGCCCGGTGAGGGAGAGAGGACGCCCTCCTTCCAGAGCCCGGAGAACGTCCCGGCGGTGGCGCTGCTGGGCGTGGGAGCGGGGGCCGAGTGGGCAGCGGAGCCCGCGACTTGGCTCCGCGCGCCCCTCCAAGGGTCTTCTTCCGCTCTGCCGCCTCCACCTCGGTGCCGACTTCGCTCTCCGCCTCCCCAAACCTCAGGCCTCCTTTCACTCACCCAAGCAGCGCCCGAAGCCTGGGGAAGAGGACATAGGGGAAAGTCCTGGAGGCCGGCGCTGCAGACTCTGCTAGAGCCTTGAGGGGGAAGGAAGGCCATAATTTGTCATAATTTGTCACAGGCACTAGACGTGCTCACTGGAGCGACTGCCTGGGCTCGGGACTATTGTCCCACACTGTCTACAATGCCCTAGAGCCAGCCAGGGCTGCAAAAAGAGGGTTCCCATATGAAGCAGTTTTTACAGGGCCTGACAAAATAAGCGCTCGGTACATGTTTGCCCTTATGCCTGAATCCTAGCTCCAGAGGGCAAGCTCTGAGTCTTGCTTACCATGTTACATTCCAGGGACTGCATGACCAGCCTGCCAGTCAGTTCCCCCTGCTGATTGCTGAGTGATAGACTCAAATATGACAGTCTATAGACAGTGATAAATTTTTCGGTTAACATCGACTGAATTCCTACTCTGCATTATTCATTATTTCACTCATGGGGGGGGGGATTGGCTCCTCACTGACTCATAATGATAGCAACCTTTGCTCATTATTCTATCAGCTGTGTCTAAAACAGACCTTGCCATAATAGTTGCCCAGAAAAGTGCGTCTGAGAGAACTCATGGGCTTAAGTGTGAGTTAAGAAGAATGCTTTCAGCCACAAGTAGCAGGCTCTTGATTGAAGCTGGCTTGTGACATAGAGATGTATCTGTTCAGGATCCAGTGAAAGGGCAGAGTGGCAGATATCCTGTTCAGCAGTGACATTAGAAACTTGAAATACTTCCATCTCCTTCTCTGCTGCCCCCACCATGGACTTCATTCTAAAGCTGACTTCCCTCATATCACAAAATGACTGCCCTGGGCACTTGAGGCCACAGCTTCCCTTTCCTAGGCAATAGTAAGACCGGTTTTTCTTCTCCAGAAGTTCAAGGAGCAGCTCTTGAGCCTTGTTGATCTAATCTGGTTGAGGCCTGTCTATCCCAAACAAATAGCTACCAAGGGAGATGGAAATATCATGACTAGATTAGATTAAATTTGGGGGTGGATGAATTGTGGAGAATTTCATTATGTCTGCCATGCACTGAGGTGGCTATGGGAATGAGTAAGAAGAAGGAGAGAGTGAGGATATTCTTGGGACTCAGGAATGCTAGCCTGATGGTTTGGGGAGAAGGAGAGCACATGAAGGGAACTGGGAAAGAACCCTTAAAGAGTAGGTAGAGGATTTGGAGTGGGTGGTGATTTTAGATAACCATGGGAGAATTTTCTCCACTCTCAACTGAACCACTATTTCTGGGAATGTCCTGTGACACATGGGGGCCCACCCCTGGTCTAGAGTCCTTCACCACCAGCCACAGTGGTTTGATGCAGGGATAAACCACTAATCATGCTGTTTCCCATTCTACAAAACATGGAAACTGACAACATGAATTGTCCATTATAATTCTTCTCGGGAGGCTGTTCTCTCTGATGCTGAGGATAGATTCAGTCTTTCCAGAGACAATTTCATTAGAGAAGGAACAAGAGACAGAAAAGGACTTAGAGGTATCACTGATTACAGTTTCCTTGAGGCATGGTTTCAATGTGGAACACCAAAATAATCTTTGAGTAAGTTATACTTTTATTCTAAACAAGATGAGCTCATGAAGCAGAATTTATAGGTCACGTATCAATCTTTAAGCAGAGACTGAAAAAAAGACTTGAGTATAGGAAAGTCATTGGGGAGATTATCCTAAGAAGCAAGAGTGAGAAATAGAAGAGAATGAGGCAAGAAAAAAAGAAGCCACCCACATGTGGTGCATGTGGTGCCTGCTGCTAGGTAAAGGAGCTTTGCTTTTGCCAGGGCTTCCAAGAACTGGACAGTTACCTCCTGGTATTAAGAGGTGTGAGGCTGAAGCAATTATCTTTACCTCCCTCATGTTGTTTTTCCTAAGTTTCTTTACTTTCTTGAACTTCTAGTCTCTTTTGTCCCAAGTAGGTTCCCATGATGTCAGAGAAGGCCCTGGGGCCAACATAAAAGACAGGCATATTGCATGTTGGAAGTAGGATGCTACCGGTGAGAGGTAAGTCTGAGTCTGAGCTTGCACAGAACAGTCCACTCTCAATGTGCTCTCATAGCCACTTGCTACAAATTTAGCAGCTTAAAACACCATAAAAATTATCTCACAGTTTTTGTGAGTCAGCTGGTTCTCTCTTTGAGCATCTCATAAGACCAAAATCAAAATGTTGGCAGGACTGTGTTCCTTTTGGGGGACTTTAGAAATGAATTGGCTTCCCAGACCACTGGCAGCATTCAGTCCTGTGTTGTTGTATACCTGTTGTTGTATACCTGAGGTCCCCATTTCCTGGCTGCCTGTCAGTGGGGGGTCTTTCTCACTTTCTAGAGGTTGCCTGCATTTCTTGGCTCTTGGCCCCCTTTTTACATCTTCAGAGCTGCTGCTCTGAAGGTCTGATCCTTCTCACATTCAAATCTCTTTCGCTATCTCTCTGCCTCTTCTATCCTTCCTCTCCTATATTAAAAGCCCATGTGAGAGCCTCCCTGTGGCCTTGGGGTTAAGTCTCAGTTCTATCACTGCTGCAACCTGAAGTAGTCCCCAGTCAAAGAGCTGACCTATATGGTGAAGCAGACCTCTTCTGTGTCACCTTAACAGTAAATCCACCTGTTCTGCTCCCTACTCTGTCTCTGGTGAACGTTCT